TGTACCAGCATACATACCCCCCCCCCCCTTACACATGCTAAGTCAACATGTGTTTGATGATGGCGTCGCGTTCGCATCTCTCCTACTCATTTCTCCTCTGATCCCTCCTTTGATGCCGCTCTCCGGGACTCTGTTGATCTGATTCTTCATTGTCCCGCCATCTCTCTCCCGCAGGCTTCTCTCTGGAATGTAACGCGGCCGCGTGTTGTTGTACCTGTACCTCTGCACGCATCTGTACGCCAGATGTTTAGGCAGTTAGCGCTTGACTTGAACCAGCAAGAGCACTGATCCTCTCAGGTGTGTTATTTGTTAGACTCAGCAGCGTTTAGAAGGCGACCTGTTGCAGTTGAGTGATTCGTTCTTGTCTTAAAGAGCCTATAACCCTGTAGCGCCTTGATGTGTGTTTGTGAGGGGGCGGTGTATTTAGTATGGTGGTATATTAAGTACTCACTGCTGTGGGGTTTTTGCTCTGCACTGTGTTGCAGTGATCTTATGTCAGAAATAACCATTAACTGCAAGCTCACTACTAAAATCTTCTTGTTTATTTCAAAGAAATGGCAACAGCTGTTGTTGGAAATCTGTCTACAGAAAGACCCATCAGTGTGCTACAAGAAGTACGTGTAAAAGACTGGATACACTGTAGGTAACAATGCAGTAAGACTCAACTGGAACCTGGTGTGCGACCTTTGCCGAGCAACACACAATTATGGGATAGCGGTAAATGCTAAAATATAGTGTGCAGCACACATCGGCTGTTTTGTGCAGCGTCATGTTATTTCACATACGTCAACTGATGCCAGGAGCACAGTGCAGACACGTACAGTAGCCAGGGTGTGACTTGAGCCAGCAAACTGACTGTAATGTCAGTTACACTGCAATATTTACTTGCTAACATTGGCTACAACAGTCACAGCCACCATTAGCCACTGGTCGTACTAGACCAAGGAAGGCTGTAGCAGTGTGTTGAACAGAACAAAGGTTGTTTGACTAAAACCTGTACCTTTTTAATTTCTAAGAGGAAGAGGTGCTTTTTCTTTCACTGAAGCACTGAAGTAGAGGGGTTGTTAGTTTTATGTAGAGATAAAGGACACTTTTTAGTGGGTGAAAAGGATTGCACCAAGTCTCCAAGCAAATGTTTTGGTTGCTGGACAAAGCCATTCTTAAGAGGCATGGCAGCCTTTTGGCACCAGTATTCAGCTGCCCAGCGACCATCCAGAGGAATAGCAAATGTCTGTCTGTCTTCTCTTCACTGCTTCTCTCAGTCGGCCTTACTGCTCAGCCTGGCTGTTCAACACAGTACCGACATGACACTGCCTTGTACATTCCCAGGTGGAAGTCCTCCACAGTACATTAGATTAACTTCAAATCTGATTATCACGGACTCAGTTTTGTGTAACAGGGTTCATGTGATGAGCTTTTGTCTGAGCGGCGGTCGTAACTCTGCCACTTGTTTGTGTGAAAGGCTCCTACTTGTCTGTCAATGGGAGGTCAAGCGTGCTGGGGGGTTTTCACACGTACAGGAGCAAACAGCAGTTACTGGTTCAGTTCCAGCGCTGGAGCAAACTCGGTACAAGTATTTCAACTATGTCCTCACACAAAGTGAGCCTCAATCTTTACGTTGTTTGAGTGAGGGAAAACAGAACCCTATGTCTTACTGACCCCCCAAAAAAGCGGAAAAGCTGGTGAGTTGTGTGCAGAGGTCTGAGACAGCTGCTCAGTAACTGATAGATAAATGTTTCCCTTTGAAAGATGTGATGCTGGCAGAAGCAGTCTTTGGACGGGTAATTTTGATTCAGCCCTCGAGGCCTTCCATCTAGATTTGTGGGTTGAATGGAGTCGTTTTATGATTTACTCGTCTGGCAAGATGCTTGTTTATGGCAGCGATTTGTGAGCGGCGTTGAATGAGAGGCTTTTGGCAGAAAGCGCTATCGCTATTTTTGGATGTCAAGTCTCTATTGGGTATTAGGGAAGAGGCTTTGTTTGTAATGAACCTCCATTATGTGGGGAGAAGTGCACATGAGAGGTTGCTCACTTGCTACAGTTGAGTGAAAGCAGCGTTTCTTGACTTATGTTGCTTTTCTTTTCTTTCTTTTTTTTTCAGTATTTAGGCAACAGATTTTTTTTTTCTTTCTCAACAGAACTATCTCAGATGATTGGATATGTAGAAGCTATAAAATATAGTCAACGCAATTTCATGCAAAGTAAATTTCATGTAAACCTTTATGACTGCAGCAAAGAGGAAACTCCAGTGAACATTGCTTTTGTGTTATTTATTCCATCACTTTGCTCCTGGCTCTATTCCTCTGGCTCCCTCTCTTTTCTACCAGTAGCTATTGAGCTTCTGAGGCATAAAACACACAGGGATTAGGGTTTCTCCCTCTCTGTTTCTGTCCATACATTATTAATGTTACTTTTCCTGTCTCGGTCTTCTTTCTCTTTGCAAATTAATTAGTTGCTAATTGTATCTGAGAGCTAATTTTAGTGAGTATTACTCACTTTCCAACTGCCTTAAGGTGGCTAAGTTACGATGAGACGTTTATTGAGCTTTTGATATTTTGTAAATGTATAAATCTGACTAAATGCACTTTTAAAATATGGCTGTATAAATGGTCAAATCTGGGATTATAGTGCTTTTAGTAAGGCTGTTGCTATCCTGGTGGTAGATTATTTTTACTGCATACAGTATGGCAGATTGACCTTCACCTTAATAAGTCTGATGATTTATGTATATTTTACAGTCATAAAAAACATTGCTCCACTATTCTCTTCTTTTTAAACTGTATTAGTAATATTTTTAACCGTTTTTCAAGGGTTCAGCTTTAGACACCTGAACAGAGGTGCAGTGGCTCCCCCTGATGGTACCTGGTGTAATCTGATCTAGGAGACACCCATGCTTATCTTCTGCTGACTTGCCTGAAATGCAACCATTGACTCTACACCTCAAGAAAACACATGGCTGATACTGCAAGGTTAGAGAGAGCAAAACATCTAAGCCCAAATATATTTTGTTGCTGCATCTCAGCAGCAGTTAAATCTCAGTTTCTTTTTCATCAGGTGAGGGCGTGGCTGGGAGCGTGAGTTGCAAAGTCCCCAGAATTACATCACATGGAGGTCAAAGGACATCTGATCACATCCATGGGTTTGGGGGCTCCTGGTGAGTAATAATGACTTCTCACAGTGTGAAGACACACACTTTCATGTCTAGACAAGCCTGACAGTTCAACAGAAGGAAAACAAAAGTGTTTTTCTCAAGGGAACATCCAGCTGAAAAAACAGCTGTATGTGTGAAGGCCTTTTGTTCACGTACTGTCACCACAGCTGTCAGATAATCTTATCAGAGCACTAAGTAACTGCGAGCAGACATCATATTGTTGTGAGACACAGACACAGAAAAGTAACCATAGTTTGAATCCTCGCGTCCTTCACCTTTTTATTCCAATGCTTTGGCATAAAATGTCCAGTCTTCTGTTGTTAAAGGAAAGTCATTTTCTCAATAATATCTCAAACGGGTCACAAACATATGAACTTGTGTTTTTTGGGGAAATCTTTTTTAGCCGTGGATGAATACACAGTTTAAGCAACAGGTCTGTGTGTATGTGGGACTTTCCATGTACAAGGTAATGAAGGAACATAACACCAAGTGCAACATTGTGGCTTATTGACATGTTTTTGGATGACACTGCACAGGAATAAGATACACCAGGCTTTAGATGCACAGACAATACTTGGCTTTGGGTCTTTTTGTGGGACAAGTTGACAATAAAAATGCTAGAATATTGCCAGCCTTTAACTTTAATTAAGATGTTTCTGAGGATGCATTACATGCGCTGTGCTGTGTAGATGTTCAAGGCTGCCAGGACAGCAAGCTGCAGGCTGAGAGGATTGCAGCGCTGCAAGAGAGGAAGCAGGCCCTGGAGGCTCTGCTCCACACCAGAGTGGGAGAGCTCAAACAAGTCTGTCTGCAGGAAGCAGTGAGTAGCTCTCCCTTCACTTTTAAAACACGTGGCTCACGGTACAACATTTTCACTCCATGCCCATAAAGTGTTTGTTGTGTTAATTGTTCCTACTGCGTTTTTACTAAAGATACTACTGTTAGCATATTTTGAACTGATTACATTTTAGATGCAGCTTATAAAGAATCATCAGTGGTATTTGTTTCTCATATAGAATGGGCAGCATATTCATATTTTCCTGACTGCTCCTGAGAACTTGTCAGCCCATCTTAATGAACCCACAGCTGCCTTAGCTTGTCATTAACAGCTGTTTAAAACATGTCATGTTTTCAGCTGGATGTATAGTGACTCACTGTGTTCTACCATTCACAAGTTGTCTGTTTTCAGTGTAGCTAATTTAGAAATCTGAAGCTCTACTTATTTGCCCAGTTATTCTGTTTCTGCTGTAGAGGTGAATTTTGAGGGTGGTTTTATTGAGACTTAAAGTAATCTCTTAAGTGGTATGGTTTTATGTAACACTTTGGAGCTCAGTGAGAAGATGGATTTTAGTTACTGGGGGCTAATGAATGTCCTCTGCAGGAGCTGACTGGGAAGTTGCCACGTGCTTTCCCCCTGGAGACAGGAGAGAAACCCCCACTGGTGCAGCGCAGATCTGGCCTGGCGCCCAACACCAAGGCGGAGGTAAGTCAACACCTTGAATATCAATTGTGTTTACGCAGCAGCTGTACCTCTATGTGTACTTGTGGTCTAACAAGCCTTTTCCCGGTTGCAGGATGAGGCTGCCCAAAGAAAGCAGATGAAAGCCATCTTCACTGGTACTCTGTACAGACACTCGGAAGCAGATCGAAATGTCCCAAATAGCAAGAGGACAGTTCATCGGGGGTGTCACACAGGTATTACTACAATGCATCGAAAACCTCACCTATGCTTATGCTTTATGCTTAAAACACACCTTTTTTAAATAGTTTTTATATCAAATTCCATGCTGCAACATGACCTGTGAATGGTTTGTTGTCTTCCAGAGGACACTGTCATGTCAGAGAGTACAAGCTCCATGTCAGATTCAACATCCCATGACAATGGTGAGTCAACCGAATACAAACAGTGACTTTCTACAGCTATCTCTGTCTCTGGTGGATATACTGCCTATCCATATTCATAAAGAGCTTAAGTGACGCAGTTGTAGGCAGGCAGGCAGCAGAATTAGCTCAGTGTATTTGCATCACATTCAAAATAAATCACTCACACTTAGTGGGTGGGAGACTCATTTGCACTTCTCGTGTTAAGACACCAAATAAGAATATGCAGTCACATCTCAGTTGTAAACCAAAAATAGCACACTTGTGGAATGAAAGTGATCAGTTGTTTGTCAGTGGACTTTAAATTACAAGATAATTTCTTTGTTTTTCTTCTTCCAAAAGAGTCTTCTCCCAGTGTGGCGGCTGACCAGCGCTCTCTGTCTCAGCCGCGGCTCACTGTGGGCAGCCCTGACCACAGAATCAGCAGGAAGCTGTCTCCAGTCGAGATTTATTACGAGATGAGGACGCGGCGCAACTCAGTCACAAGCTCTGTTAGGTACTTCTCTCAAAGTGACCTTATACTGCAAGCTGTGCAGTCTGTGTGATGTATCTGAGAGTGAACATTATGTGTGTATGTGTTTGCACGTAGAATCATGATTATTTTCATGTATGGGTGATACATGTTAAATACATCCATGTCTTCTTGTGTTTCTTCCCCCAGCCCAACTCACTCTTTACCAAGAAGTGCATCTAACGTTGAGGGTAGAAGTGTTCCAGCGACTCCTCTCTTGGCCCGAACTGCTCCAATCAGTGTTCACGTCAGGTAATCTGTGATACAGTGCTGCCTCTCTCTGATGCAAAATAGCTACAGCTCGCTCACACTGTGATAACTGTCTGTTTGGAAATGGCCTAATGACTTAGTTGAATGCAGACACAGAGTCAGGGTTGTAACAACGATTAGTGTCATATTTAGCTACCAGCAAGGGCTTGAGCTCAACGTTTGTTCTTTAAGCATAAAAACTGTTGCCCGTCTTAAGTGATTTTCTGTGAAATGCAGTTACACGGTTTTGATTAAAATAGCTTTCAGTCACTTTTCTTTATCCATAGTTGCTCCGAGTCCTCTCCTTTTGTAAGCTGTCGTTGTGCTTATTTCTGCTTTAGGTCGGATGCGTCGGGTGGTAACGGACTGAAGCAGTGGTCTGGCAGCCTGGATGTGCCCTATATGATTCCACTGGCACAGGAGGGCTCTTCTTCTGACCGCCGAAGCTGCCCTTACAGCTCCCGGGCCAGGCGCAGTAACAGCTCCGAGGCCCTGCTGGATAGGTCCAGCCTCCCTGACGATCCTGCTCCCAGAAACGGGATGCCCCCCCGAGGAGGACCCTACAAGAGCTCAGAGACACTGACTGATGGCAAACTGCGACACATTCATCTGGGCAGCCCTGAGAGACATGTGGATGGCTCTGTGGAGCAGGCCAAAATGCGTCTGTCCATGGGTGGCAGGGGGGCTGGTGGAGGCTACAATGAGCTCTTGATGGACTATATCTGGGGGAAACAGCAGAGGATGCAAGTGCAGCAGCACCTGTACCAGTCCACAGGCAGGATCTGGCAGGACATGTCCTCTCCCCGCTCCTCCACTGCGGCTGTGCCTCCCCATGCCAACGGCTTTTCCCATTCCCAGGTGCACCTCCCCAGTGCTGCGCCTCCTTTCAGCCCCATGGTCCTCAGAGGATCCGAAGCTGAGCTGCGCAGGGTCAAAGTCACCAGAACCAAATCTTGTGGACCCTTTATTCCTTTGCAGCAACATCCCCAGGATGCCATCCTGCTGTCAGCTTACGAGTCTCCTCTTCCGGCCTCTGGCACCACCACATCCTCCATCCCAAACCTGCACCCCTACCAAACCGAGTTATCCGGCCCCTCCTTCAGCCGCAGACCCCCACAGTTCTCTCTCCCAACCCCAGAGGACTCAACGCGCAGCTTGCATAAAGCCCTGGCTCTGGAAGGACTGAGGGACTGGTACCTGAGGAATGCCCTTGGCTATCCTCCTGCTGCCCCAAAGGGCCACGAGGCTGGGATCTCTCGCCTCTCACACCCCCACCCGCTGGTGCACCAGGCCCAGTCGGTTCAAGGTGAACCAGCCAACCTCCACAGATCTCAGATACCCCAGTCAGCCAGCTTCCATGGTCACCCGCTGCATGGAAGGTCAGTATTGCTTGCACTCTTTTACACCTGTGTGTCTATTAGTGTCAACAGGAAATAACCTTTTCTTTCATTATTACATTGTTTAGTGTTGTGACAATCACATTGCACTCAAAGCAGAAGAAATGTTTTATTATCACTTTAAGAGTTAGTTTTAGGAGCTATGTAAGAATACATTTAACTAAACGACAAATGCATGTTTTCAAATACAATCACTCACTCAGTATTTAGCACTGAGATTCGCTCAGCTGTCTTTCTCACTGGAAGTTGGCAGCAAGTCTTTCAGCACAGGATGGTGCTATTACTCTAGCTCTATTCCCAACCAATCCATCTATCATCCTGTGACTTGTTGTGGTTGTTTAATTTTGGTTTGTGTCTGTATTTTGTGAGGTCAGCATTATCTGCTGCTGTCTGCTTATGCCAGCGTCTAGGATGTCTCTTGATCAAAAAAAACACTTGCGTTTTCTCACTCACAGGCTTCCTATTACCTAAAATGACCCACGAGAGACAGCAGTCACATCTACACGTTACCATCCAAGGCTCTCTAAGCTCCTTTATATTCCCACCATGATCCATACTTTTTTATTTCAAGATGTATTCTCAGTGTGGTTTCTCCCCCTCCACATCCGGCTTCTTGTTTGTGAAGAACTGTATTGATTTGTCTTGCCTCCCCAACAGGTCGATGGAGTTCTCTCTATATCAGGAGACTCCTCATCCACAGATGCAAGAAGTGACCCCAAAGGAACCCAGTGCAGACCCAGGCACCCTAGTCTGAAGCAGCAGAACACACACGTACACACACACACACACTACATTATATCAGCAAAAACACTGTAGCCTCACACACACATTCACTCAGACTCACACAGTCGCACACGTACACAGACAAGTTGATACAATGTGACCTCAACAGCAAAGCAAAACATGGCGACCTCAGCAGAAAGAGACTGGAATAAATGACAAACTGTAGCTGTACAGTGTGAAAAAGCCTTGGCTAGTTCCCCGTGTTATAACTGATCCCGCCAGTATATGAACTTCAAACTCAGTGTTCTCGTGTGGATGTGCACTGGAGTTAACTAATAACAATATGGTCATGCTGTACTTAATATATCAATATTTCTGGTCCAACACAAGCAGTAAAATCCCTCCCAATAACCCTGAAATATCCCGAGATATACTTTTTTACAGAATATATACAACTCTAAATCACTATTTTGTATCTTCTGAGATATAAAGAACAGTTCTATTAAAGAGGTAATTTATTTCTCATTAGTTATGTGATATACAAAGATGTTATATGAGCTCACATCCTTTGAAAAGTATTAATACATGCCGGTGAATGTGTGTTTGTAAACTATATAAAACGCAAAAACATGCTTCAGTCTTCATCTGCTGTTAATTTCACAGCCATTTGTATTTTTCATCTTTAACAAACGAACTTGCCATGAACTGTAGCGTAGTGGTGTAGCGGACGGGAGTGCCTAAAAGTTTTAATATCAAAACTAAACCTTGGTTAGAAACCTTTAAAGTTCTTTCTAATAATCTGAAATGCTAGCATTAAGCCTTTGTGAGCTTAGTGTAATCAAAAACTGAAAGCAGTTCACGATGTCACTAAATTAGGTTATTTGGAATGATGTCATATATATTGTGATTTTTTTTTTTTTCGTTGTAGCTTTCTCTTTGCTGACCTTGACAGAATAATAACACAGATTCTAGGACAAATCTGAGGGCTGTTGAGACCTACTGTATGGCAGTAGCACATGACTGTATGACAAAAATATACTGTGCAGGATTTGAGTGTCATATGGAGCACTTTATGAACATCTTAAGCCTTAATTCCCTATAAAATTGTCTCCAAGAGAGATGACAGGCAGGCAGGTTTGACAGGGTTTATAATTGGGGGAAGAGTTAAGGAAAAGTGAGTTTTGTCAACCTCTACTGAAGGTCTGTCAGAGTGTTAGTCTGTATATAGTGTGGATTGTATTGGTGAGTTTCAAACTAATATTTTATTCCCGTACTAACAATGTAATTTTTAAACTAACGACATACTAAGTATTTAATCAGAATAATCTCCCCCACTCATTCCACCCCCAAGTGAGCACTATTTAATTGGTTGTAAAAAGTGAGGTTGGTGGTGTGAACAGAATAGGGCTGCTGCAGTTTTGAATGATGATGGTGTGAGCAGGTCTCATACCAGTAAATTTGTTAATGAGATTCATGCTGGCTGATTTTTGTATTTGTAATAATTTCAACTCATTTCATGTGCTTGCTTATGTGTTGTTTAAAAAAAAAAAGTTACTTTTTCTTTAAACTGGACTAGTTATGTGTCATATATTTCCAAGTTTGTCTCAACAGCATTCTGCAATGTAAACTTCAGAAAAAATTACAATATTACATGAAATCGTCAAGGAAGCAAGTATTTGTCTTAGTGTTAAACAGAAGTTAACATAATTTTGACTTTTTTTTTCCATCTCTGGACTCATTTGAATGTAAACTTTTTACGTTTGTCATAAGTGATGTTGTTTTCTACTCTATTGCGAACTGTAGCACACCGAATGTTACCTGGTTTCTTCTGCTGTCTGATGTGTTCACATCCTCTCAGTATCCAGCTTCATACAGCTTCTTCCAGCTGGTTTAAACCTGAAATCAAAGACCAAACTGCTGTGCACTGGGGGTCGTAAATGTATTTTTCATATAATGTACTCTGTAAGTTGAAGGTAAATGATATAAATTTAGCTCTGAAGAAAATTTATTCAAACTATATTATATTTATGAACCTATAACATTTTGTAGCTATCTACTGTAGCTCTTTCTCATCAGTGCGGGAATTGGTAATGTGTGTTCAAAACATTTCATTCAGCAGTGTGACGTGTTAATATTTGATTATTATTCTTTTTTTTTTTTTTTTAGATATTTAAGTGCAGCTGTTTTCTCTATCCCTCTCTTTATAACCAGGCCTGTGAAATAAGACTTATAGGCCCGCCCTATACTGTATGTATGAGATTGTGCATTCATTCTACTAAATAAAGTGTCATGTTGAAATCAACACAATGTGTCAGACTTGTAAGACATACAGTAACAGTGGATGTAGTGAAGTTTTGCTGAAGAAAAAAAGTTGTTTCTTTGTGTTTCTTTATTTTTTTTTTTTTAGTCCATTGTTATTTTTGTAAATAAAAAAATCTAAATGTTAAAGGAGAGGTTCACTATTTGTCAAGTCTGTCACACTGAAAACAGGTTTTGTTTGTTGAAACCATTCTTCATGTTTTCCATGTATTTCTAATGTAAGAGGTAAGAGATAGGAGACAAAATCCACAGTTCTCGATCTCCCACCGGCCTATTGAAAAAGGGTGGACTAATCCTTTAAAGGCCCTGCACACCCTCAGCTGTTTTCAGTTATTCTGGCTACTACCTTAATTCACCAAGAGCGATCCTTACTGTTTATCTGTTTATATTGTTGGCATGTGTTGCACCTTATTGATATTTTGTATGTGCACTCTACATTATAATGCAAAATGTCCCTCGGGAGACATAAAGTTTTATCATATCTTATTATATCTTATCTAAGCAGACATTTTGAATGGCAAAATAGCACAAGTATTATTAATAATGTTAATGATGGCTGTGTTGGGCAGGGCCCTGCAACCAGTGAGTGGAGTGTAGCATTTATTGATATTATTAATCAAACCTGTGGTTTTCTTGCAGTCAAAATATCAGCTGCAGTGTCCCTGGTTTGAGTCCAGCCAGGGAACTTTTTGCATCTCTCTACTGTAATAAATGCATAGAAAATATTATATATATATTTTTTTTTTTTGTGGGGGGGGGGATTACGTGATGTCACCAAACTTTATGCACTAGTGAAAATGATAAAGGTTGTCCCATAACAAGAGGTGCAACAAACTAACACTGTGAGGGCACTCTGCCATACAGTGGTGAGAAGTAATCAGTAAAAGGATCAAGGTTGTGAAGTGTCTTTAGTCCATTCTGTAGTCCCTCAATGAAAAAGTCTTGTTATAATCTCAGAGGTACTGAGGTAAAACGTGTTTATATTGTAACCATTAGGCCTATTTTTCTACACATAAGGAAGTAAATATATTGACCTTCTGTGTTATGGTATTTTTTAAGCTTCCTGTATTACCACAATTCTTACATAGGGACCTGTAGTACATCTAAAACCTATGGAAACCCATTTCTGCCAATGTGACAGAAAAAAAATTATTTTGAGATTTCATTATTTTGAGATACTAAGTCAGAATAATGAGAAAGTTTATTCTTTTGACATAGTCATTATTTTGAGACGCTAAGTCAATACTTTGGGAAAGTTTCTCATCATATTGACTTACAGAATCCTTTTTTCCCATTACATTGGCGGAAATGGGCTTCCAAAAAAACCCTGTAATTGGATAACAGGAAAGTCATAGATAAAATAATAAATAGATAACATAGACAGAGAGAATGAGCTCTTTGCCACCTCTGGAAATAGCACTGGTTGCTCCATAGTGATGAATGTGAGAACAGCAGCAGCAGCAGCAGCAGCAGCTATTCCTGGACCTGAGTGTTTTTCACACAGAGCAGAGCGAGGCGCAGAGCGAGGCGCAGAGCACGCGGGCTGTGAGACTCTGCTGTGCTCGTGCCGCGTTACAAATATTAAAGTGGATCTATCACACACAGGGGTAAGTAGGCTCCTCCTCTGGCGTTGTTGAGCATTTATTAGGCTCGCGGAGTTTTTGTACTACAAAGTGTCATCGTTAAGACCAGCAACATGTACTTATTTAGTCCAGCACTGGAAAAAACGAGACTTCCTGCAGGAATCTTCAGAATAAAACTGTTTCATTTGATTGTGCTGCGGGGTCGAAAAGTAACAGAGCAGGTCAATGGATATAAGTATGCTCACTAAAAAACAGGTTAAAGATTTATCCAGTATGGAGTCAGTAAAGCACTGACGCAATGGTGGCTTAACTTGACCCAGTGTACAAAATACATTTTATAAAACTAGATACTTAACTACCAGACTAGACTAGACTTTTTTTTTTACAGCAGCCATTTTGACTATATAGCCAATAGTTGGCTGAACACAGGTGTTAACAGTGATACTAATGAAGGTGGTGTTCCATTCAGGTCAAACAGAGTCAGAGTGCTGCTATTGTGCATGTTGCTCTCACTGGAAAGGTTCTGCTACACTAAATGGAACAGGGCCTTAATTAACAACATTGATAACACCTGTGTTGTAGCCAGCTGTTTCATGTCAGAATGGCTGGGGCTAAAAAGGTCTGTTGTTGCAGTTGTGCCAGTTGTGTCTCCATAGGCCGGCCCAGCCAATAGTTTTGTTTCTGTATTTCCACTAACCCATTTTAAATATCCAACAGCAGGAGAAAAAATGGGACATGTGGCAATGTTTTAAAAAATTTTTGCCTGTCAAGCTGAGAATAGTCAAACAAAGTTGTGTACACATCAGTTAAGTGCATTTTGGTTGTACGCTATACACTGTATTAATATATGACAGCCTCTCTAAGGTTTTATCAAGCAAACCAAGACACACATTTCAGACTTTTATTTTGAAGTAACAGTAATACCTGGCATTTTTTAATTTAATGTCAGATGAGTGGATCTCTTGTACACATCAGTAGGCCTACCTCTTGACATTACCATAACAACATGTGTACTACCACACAAAAATAAGCCCACTTTAGCACTTACTGAGTTGTCTGTAAAGGCGCCATTTTTCTGATCACTTTACCGTCCTAACAAAATAATTCCTCCGGCCAGATATCCCTTGAAAGAGCATGAATTAACTCGAATTGCCAGCCTTTCATGTTCTGTGGCGCCCACACTGTAGTCGTCCATGCAAAATCAGGAAGAGTTCAGTTGCAGCTGGGCCAGTGTCAGGAGCTATTTACGTTGACATGCCATTCATCCAGCTAAAAATAAACATACACATTCACTGGCCCATTTGAAATGTCATCGCAAACAGCCTCCTACAACCAGTGACTAAAAGCCCAGACAAGCTGCCGGAGACAAATGGATAGTGAACTTCTGTTTCGGAGATCCAAGCATGATCCCTTTGAACTCCTTCCATTTTTTTTTTGAGTATGCACGTGCATTTTTCTTGTAGCTTTCTCCCTGAGTGCTGCTGTCATCTGGGCCCGTCTTCAGCTGTGCTCAAACTCATCAGGCTCCAGATAAAGATGTCATCTTCATACGCTGCTGCTATATCAGCCCTTCTTTCAGCCAGCTCCCAGAATCAGCCTGTCAAACCCAGCCCTCACCCCTCCCCAGACGCAGCAGGGAGTCCTAAACCTTCCCCCCTGCCCAGTAAATCTGCCCTCTGCCCTCCAGCTGCACAGATACAGCCTCATTCCCCGGAGCCTCTGGGATCTTATGATGAGCAACAGGAGAACCCTGCGGACTATGGCATTGGTAGGCAGCACTCCAACACCAAATTCCAACGCACTGGTTGAGATATCTTCTGTGATGCAGGCGGTACGTTGTGTTGCAGGTGGTTACTACCATGTAGAGATTGGAGAGATTTTCGTTGACCGTTACCAAGTGGTTAAAAAGCTGGGATGGGGCCACTTCTCTACTGTATGGCTCTGCTGGGACATAGAGTAAGTACGGGTTTGACATTTTGACTTTTTGTATATATAACATAATAACATAATATAGTGATTACATAATATGATGTAAACATAATAGTAGCTAACTGCCATAATTGTTTGCATGCAGGAAGAGGCGTTTTGTGGCTCTGAAGGTGGTGAAGAGTGCTCAGACATTCACAGAGACGGCACTGGATGAGATCAAACTTCTGAAATGTGTCAGTGTGACCACACTGGTTCTTTTTAAGATGGAATAGTTTTGTAGTACTCTTGCAATACACAAGTAGCAGACTTGTAATTCATAACATGTAAAAGTGTCAGGTGAACACAAAGAAAAAAACTGTCTTCAGTGTGGTGGTTGTGGAGCAGAAAGGTTCACTAATAAGTGAGACTGATAATGTGGCTGAAAATGCAATTTCTGATGTCATTTACTCTAATAAGAGACCAGTTTGGGCTGAAACGAAAGGGGGAGAAGATGATCAGAAAGTGTGATAGTTTTATTGGAGATGAGGGGGGAAATAATGCACCATATACACTGTGTGTGTGTGAGAGAGAGAAAGACAGGGTATAGAGTATTTAGAATTACTAAATGAATATGTGAGAGCACAAGTATTGTGATACTATTGTGTTTTGGGCTCTCTGGCAGGTCTCAGTCTCTCAATGTGCCTTAAATTATTCTCATTAAATCAAAATATTTGCCATGTTATTGTATTTACTAGATGTTAGTAAGTCATTTGTGTGTACAGAGTGATTGCCTTTATCATTTTTGCACATTTACATTTTTATTGATAGCGTAATATGTTCACTATATGACCATCAGGTAAGGGACATGGACCCTAAAGATCCAAAACGTGAGAGAGTGGTGCACCTCATTGAGGACTTCAGGATCACTGGAGCAACCGGAGAGCGTATCCTTTACAGAGATGTATGATATAATCACCTACTCTGTAACTTGTGGAGCAAGTATGGCTTTTCTATCAAGTATTGTTCTTATGTTTATATGTGTGCTGTACACAGACAAACGGATGGCACCATGACAACAGCCTTATACCATAGTGGTATGACTTAAAGACAATAAGATTGTGTCGTCTTTACTTTAAAAAAATCCAAATTCTCAGATTGTACTGTATGAAACAAGGTCCTTAATTGGTTACCAGACGTGTGCATGGTTCTGGAGGTGCTGGGCCACCAGCTGCTGAGGTGGATCATCAAATCCAACTACACTGGCCTCCCCCTGCCCTGCGTTAAGAGCATCATCAGACAGGTGCTGTGCAACCCTTTATTCCATCTTAAATCATCCTCCCTGTCTTTCACCACTGACTGAGTTTTCTTTTTGAACAGATTGTCTTCTATTTCTGCCCCTCATTGACATGCAGTGCAGTGACAGTGACTGTATTTCCACTCCTTATCACAGGTTCTGCAGGGTTTAGATTACTTGCACACTAAATGCAAGATTATCCACACAGACATCAAGCCAGAAAACATCCTGCTGAGAGTGGACGAGGTTTACATTCAGAAACTGGCGGCCAACACCAAGCTGTGGCAGCTGCCAGTGTCCTCTGCTTTCACCAGCTCCTCAGGTTAGTGAGGCTGCATTGGCAATCACATGTATGTCTAGGTGCAGTTACAGAGGAACTTGTGAGTACCACGTTGATGGAGGTTTCCAAGAAAAGAAAAATGTTTGCTGTGGTTTCCTTTCCCCCTCATTTTTACATTTTGTTCATCTTATTCCCTGCTGGTGTATTCACTTCCTGCCAGTGAACACGAGCTCCAGAGAAAAACAGGTGTGCAACTTGAATTTTTTTTACTTCTGTTTATTATTTTTCCTTCATTTTACTAGGACATTCATATTTTGGTAATTGCATTATGACCTTTGAATTTCTGTTATGACTTCCTAAGAATTTGTCCAGCTTGTTGGGAAGGCTGACTGGAGTTTTCCACACTCTTGGGGAGTGGGTAAGATAGATGTTGTGTTTGGATTTTGCACTTGAGCCACATAATTGCATCTTGAACATCTACAGTCTGCAGCCCACTATAGGACATCAAAGTATAAAAAGGCAGGGCATCAGACTTGCTCCAACTGACTTTGTCAGATTGCAGTCCTAGACGTACACACTGCAACAGGATTTCATTCCACTTCACACACTTATGTGAGCAACACAACTCATTTTCACAAACATATCGAGCAAAAAGCCTGTCTGTCTAACCAGAAAAGCAAGCCACAAAGTAGTATTTTTTGGGGTTCCCAGGTGGTCATAATGTTATGGCTGATTGGTGTAGTAGGTGTACACTATACCCATTCTGCTCTATTTTTCTTGCTGTCACACTCTGACCCTAAAGAGACAAAGAATAACCCTTAACAATATTGTACAGATTGCAACTTAATGTAACACTCTTTTTAGGAAGCAGTTTTCCGGTTTCTTTCTGCATTGGAGTCAAGATATGTGAAGAGGAGATTTCTAGGGTAAAAAACAAGAAATACTAGTACTGGACAGCTCTTATATCTCATAATAAACAAGCATCTATAGCTTTTAAACATTGTGAATACATATCGCCATGTAAACTAAAGGCATTCTAATTCTACAGAAACCCTACAGTGTGCTTTGGATCATTTTTGAAGGAGACTTGGATTAAAACCTTTTATTGAGACACTTTTTTACCCATGGAATGAGCCCTTCACAAGCTGGAATAAGCTCAGTATACCTAAAGTAATCAAAGAGCACCTGTATGTGATCACTATTAAGACCCAGCAGCGCTTCTCCTCCATTGTCTTCAGGTATCTATAACTATCACAATAGGAGACCAGAGATAGAGATACTGAAATAATCCTTGATTATATTTTGCATGCTGACATGTGCTTGTGTTGAATCTCTGCTCAAATTTGCTGTCTTGTCCTTGTGCTATTGTTGTGTCACTAACAGGCTCCTGTTCCCGATCAAAGGGATGGGATGAGTCAAGTGGGGGGAGGTGGGGTGGAAGTGCTTGATGTAGACCTCTGTAGGAGGACACAACTGCAGATTTTGATGTCCTTCCAACAACCTCTGTTGTGGTTTCAGTATATCTTGTTGTTAGCAACTCACTGTTTTACAACATGTAAAGTAACAGGGTCACAATGTATTGTTGAGATATTAATACATGGATTACATGGACTCTACAGATATGATACCTTATGGTACATATGATACAGTATGCATAAAAAGCACAACATTTTATTTGTCTGTAACACATTAGATATTAAACACCATAGAGTACGTAATGCCTCTTTAATATGTTAAATGTTTCTTGATGCTACCATTCGGGGGCACATAGTATCTTTAATTTGAATGATTTGCTTCACTTTCAAAATACATCTCAAACACTTTTGAGATGAGTTGTTTTACTGACCTCTGACTCAACCGATTGCACCCCTGCAGTCCAGCAAGGTCTCCAGGAGCCCAATTAAGCGACTGACGAGGAAAGACAGGAGTCGACGAGGACAGGAGGTTGCATCTGACCACCATCAAAAAGATAAACTTCACGTGTCGTTCTCTGATGTCCCTGCTCCCTCTAGCACCTCTAGCTCCACACGTCACTCTAAGCTCACAGGGCCTAAGCTCTTGTTAAGGAGGCGCACCCTGCTGTTTGAAGACGGAGTGGACTCGGTTCCACACAGCCACAGAGACTCCATCTGCCCGTGGCTGGACCTCAACACAGATGCACCTGTCTCTGGCTCTAGATCAGTGTTATTACATCAGACTGCAGACAAAGAGCCGCCTCCACCTTCACCATCCTCCCCTCACGGTCCGTATAATGACATTTTAATTTTTTGTTCCTCTTCCTGTGAGAAGTAATTTTTTACAGTTTGGCAAAAATCTACCTTTTGTTAGCGTGTTTACTTGAGCTAATATTCACATAGTATGTTTGTATATAGATTACCTAGAATCAGTACACTCGAAGTTTATCCTAGTCTGATTTTCTTCGCTGTCACATTCGTTTATGTATTTTAGGTGTCAGTGATTCGGATGTACTTCTGGACCTTCTAAAGCCCCAGAATGCCGATAAAATCTTTATCAAGATTGCAGACCTGGGCAATGCCTGCTGGGTGGTGAGTGATTAGTTAACAAGCAAACAAAAGTACATACCTCCTCCATTCCTTCATAATCAATAATTAGTTTGAAATGTTTAGTTTGGGTTTATTTTTGTACTGAAATACACACAGTGAGATCATGCGGAGAAAAACTACTTTGTAAAAAAGCAAAAAAATCATAATTGCAGTTGTTCTCAGGTTTATCATAATATACTATATACCAAACTCAGTGAAAAGTGGTAAGAAAAATCTAAATGATATATAAATCTGTTCAGCAGGAAATGGGTTGGGCCTGTTAGTCAAGTTAATCAAGGAGTCCTGGGTACAAAAAGACATTTTGTTTCTACACCTCGCAGTTCACAGTCATGAAGCACATTGTGAGGTGTTTTATAACTGACCACATGTCTAGTTTATAAAATACCCTCAACCCATATTTTTTACTGAATTGAATGCAACAGGTGTTTTCTGTAGAACACAGTACTAAAGCCATATTTACCATGCCCTCTGGTGAAAAACACAGCTGCCATATGTTCCCAGTGAGACAAGGCTGATTTGAAATGTAGCTTGAGAGGGACATACAGTGTAATGTGCATTTCAGTGCTACCCAGTGGTGGTGGTTATGCTTCTCATTTCATTTGGCAGATCAGGGAAAGAGAGCATGCTGTTATTTTCTCAGATGACAGTTTAACAATTCTTTTAGCCAGCTAGTGACACAGTTTCATACATCAATATCGAACATCTTTTGGATGGATTCTCATTAAATTTAAAACATTAAAACATTCATGGTCCCCAGAGGACGAATCCTACTAACTTTGTTGATCCGCAGACTTTTCATCTGGTCAATTATTGAGATAATATCCCATACCAACGTCATTTTGGAGATAATCATAGTCATAGATGCAGGTCATTAAATAGTGGAACATTAAAATCTCATCTCTCCTGTTGTCAGCACAAACACTTCACCGAGGACATCCAGACGTGTCAGTACCGCTCTGTGGAGGTTCTGATCGGCGCTGACTACGACACACCGGCCGACATCTGGAGCACCGCGTGCATGGTGAGCCGAGCTCCTGCATGGACTTTTTTTTCTGTTTTTGAAAATATGTGCCTTATTTCACCTTTGTAATGTTTCATTCCAGCATTGCCATTTCCAAACTTGTCACAGCCATGTTTTGTGTTCCTCTTTATGTACTGTAGGCTTTTGAGCTGGCCACAGGGGACTATCTGTTCGACCCCCAAGCAGGAGCCACATTCTCCCGCGAGGAAGGTTTGTGATGTTCACTATATCCCTTCTGTCCTTGATTAAACTAAATGTGCTTATAATGCAGTATCTGCCTATGTTCTCTCAGATCACATTGCCCACATCATTGAGCTCCTGGGAACCCTTCCATCCCAGTTTGCCCTCTCTGGGAGAAATGCCAAACAATACTTCAACCGTAAAGGTAAAATGTACTGAATTATTACAAACAAACACTTAAATGCACACTTGCTCACCATAAAGCAAAAAGTCCCTGCATTACTTTCATTAGGTGTGAGATAAATTAAAAAACTTTGTTCATTTCTTTGCAAAAACTGTATTTAATAAATAAAAGTAGACAAAATCGTAAAATCAGTCTACTTCTTACCCTGTGCAGGACAACTGCGACACATCTCAAAGCTGAAGCCATGGAGCTTGTTTGAGATCCTGCTGGATAAGTACGAGTGGCCGCGCGAGGAAGCCGTCCAGTTCAGCTCATTCCTCCTGACCATGTTGGAGCTGCTGCCAGAGAAAAGAGCCACAGCTGCCCAGTGTCTAAAACACCCATGGATCACCTCCTAGACATACCAGCTCTGTGTGGTTCAGAGCCCAGTGGACTAGCTCTCTGTTCAGGAGCAGGCTCGGACTGACTCAGACAGGCTCGGACATCTGACATGGGCTCAGACAGCTGTGGGATATACAGTAGTAGTCTGGTGCTGGCATCATGAGCACAGCTTTCATAAATATTTATTAGCCTAAGTAAGAGCATTTTCCCATTTGGGTTGCTGTGTCTTTTAGTATTTTAGGGGAAGGCACAGCAATGACAGAGAGGTTTTGTCCTACTGGAAAACTGCCATGAGACATGATCACAATGTTCAATTATTTCAATAATAAACTGATGTAAGAATGTTTTTTTTTTGAGAAAGGTAAATCAAGACCTCACCTTGAAGAAATGCTTGTTCAAGAACTGAAAAAGGTAGTTGTAAACCAGTCTGAGGTATGAGATGGATTTATTCACAAAGCACTCAGAAATGTCAACTTGAAGGATTACCCTGATGACTCACCTCAGAAAATAATTTTATTATCAAAAACAACAAACTGTAAAAGTGACCTAATTTTAGCAGAAAAAGCTAAAAATGTAATCAAAATGGAAATGAGATAGTCACTACTACTACTGCTTGCAACAGCACTCAGTTAACCCTAAGATATCATTAAATGCCAAAGAGAAATGATTACCTCCTGTTTACCATTCCTGTGTGCAGGTGTGTGTGTTTGTGTGTGTGTGAGAGAGTGTGTGAGTGTGTGCATGTGACTGTAGTGTCTGTTGTGCATTCCTTGCATGCCCACATTCAGCTCCAAGAGGGGGATGGAAGGAAGAAGAGGGAGGAGTTAGTCTCATGTCAACGCAGGCATATTATGTCCGGCTGTTAGAAAACTCACAGATTTCCTTCTAGCAGCGAGAGGAGGTGAGAAGAGGACAGGGAGCGCTGCCTGCCCACACATGTAAGTCTTATATTCAGTTAGTTTTTAATGAGAGACTCTTTAAGAATGCATGAGGTGTTTCTTATGCCTAACAAGTGTTTGTTCCTGTGTTGCTCAAGGGAGACGTGCCTCAGTTTGGTTTTAATTCCTGTTTTGGACTGAAAGTGTGTGCGCACATAGTATTATGAAATTGGCGAGAACAAAGATAGGATATAGTGATACTTGTCAGTCAAGCCTTTTTCACAACAAATAATGTATTTTATCTTCAATAATGGTTTGGATATTTTGATCATTATTATATCCCTATTCTCCCTGTTCTTTTATTTAAAAACTTTTTAATGGCATGATTTGCATATAGATTAAATTCTGTTAGACAGTATGCACGGCATGTAACCTGCACAATTGTCTCTCTGCACTATGCTAAAATATGTAAGTGTGTGTTTATCAAGCCATGCCAAAACTATTCTGCATTTCTGTTTCTGAATCTCGGCTGTGTGTACATTAGGATGAAGCCAAAGTAAAGGTTAAAGCCCCAGTGCTCTGCCTTTTGTGACACAGCTCTTAAACCCCAGCCAGTTGCCATGCAACTCAAACTCCAAATCAAAAGGAATTACCTCAACCACCCCTGGTCTTTCACAGTTGCATTATGAGTGCAAGGTAATGCCGTTTCCAGCGAAGCCCTCCACTGCTTTCCCAAAGAAGGAGCCCTTGTTTAGGATTCTGGCTGCGCTTTTCTCCTCCTTTTTGCTCTGTTTTTTCCAATTCATCAGTGCTTGAGATATCTTAACAGACTAATTGCTTCTGAGAGTGGGAAAGCTGCACACAAAGCACCATGTTGTGTTTACCAGCGGTTATTGCAGTTGATATTAAATGATATCCTACAGTGATATCATCACATTGAGGTGTATGCGTGTATGTGTGTGTTTGTATGTGTGCAGCTTGGACCTGGCAGCAGCAGCTGATAATGGAGACAAGAGTAGTAACTGTATTGTACACTGCATAGCAAACACCCATCTCATTAGCCCTACACAAAGGGAGAGGTAGAGTGAGGAGAGATATGAGGGCTTTCATTTATCTTATGCAGATGTGTTGTTATTGCACTGTGGTTCATTTATCATAGCCTCCTCCCATAATGCAGCACCATGCTGAATTGATGTTCATGCTCTCTGTCTTGGTTGCAGGATGTGGCTTACTCTTCTTTACAGTTGTACTGGTGGAGCAGCTCTTCTGTATGCTCTGTACAGATGGGTGATCCCAGCTGCCGTGCAGTATCATGGAGGATTGGCGCTCATTTGGCATGATGTCATTGTGGAGCGGATGCTGGACACACTGACCCAGTCCACGCGTCCTCAGGTGGGCCCTCAGTATACAGTATTCACCTCTTACAAAAGCAGCTCCAACACACTAATGACCAGATTGGTGTGATGTAGTCTGAAAGAAGAGGATACGGAGTTATGATGAGAGTTATGAAGAGAGGAAGGCCGTCAGAAAACAGGACTTTGTAAATAAGTAGACACATACACACTGTAGGTCAAATGTCAATACCACTGTGCATATGTGCCTTATGTTGAACATTGTAAAGGTAGTTCAGATAAACTGAGCATGTTTATGAATGCTCTAACACAAACTGACCTTTAATGATTTATACCTAAACAACACTATGAGTCTACAGCCAGTGCTCGCAGCTCTGTGAGGCTGTACTTGGGCACAGTGGTGCTTTGAGCTGAATGCTAATCTCAGCATGTTAACATGCTCAGTATGCCAATGCTAACTGTTCATATTCAGCAGGTATGTTTACCGTGTTCACCACCTTTATTTAGAATGTAAGAGGCTGATGGGAATGTGATTAGTTTTGCAGGTATTTTATTATAGAAGGAAGTATCAGAAAAATAGCCTAATGGTTAGAGGTCAAAGCCAACAGGCTTCATTATCTGTTGAACATGAATGTCTACAATATGTCATGGCAATCCATAAAGCCATGTTGCTAGTATGACTAAAAATTATGATGTTTTTTTTCTCAATACATGACTGTAATATTGTAATACTGTGTGTTCTACTGAAAAACTCAATTCCATTTTCACACAGTTTCTAATCAGATTTAATCCAGGTTTACACAGCTTCTAAGAAAACAAGTCAGGTGCAGATCAGGAATAGATTTAAATGAAACAATAGACCTTTCACAGGTATGACTAATACCATTCAAAATAGCTGCATTCAATTTAGGTGTCCCATTGCCCTACCATTGTTTACGCTGCTTCACTGGGACACCTTACTGTAACAGAGCCATCGTTAATGTTATTAGTTACACCTCTGCTTTGCCTGTTATGACAAGCCAAAAACCTTTAACATACTGATGTGCAATAAATTATCTATAGACCTTCTTCACAGCAACCATTTTGATATGAAATAGTAGGGTAAACACAGGTGCTTCCAATGATACTAATTAAAGTTCTGTTCCCTTTAGGTCAAACAGAGTCAGGGTGCTGCTATTGTGCATGTTGGCTCACTGGAAAGTCCCTCTGGGATTTCGCAGGCTTTTTGGAATTATTGCCGCCTAAAATGCCTGATTGACGGTGGCCTGCTATGATCAGTGAAACTCGCTGGAAACTATGAAGATTGGTCAATTTTTTGTAAAAGTTGTGGTGATAGGACAGAATTGCAAGGTCACACAGACTGCTAAAGTAGCTACTCAAAAACTTCAAGTTAAATTGAGCATTTTATATCTGTCAGCGAACAGCACTGAAATTGATCCATTTCATTGTGTCATTGGTCTCATACATACACTAACATATATAAACTATAAACGGGAGAGACAGACAGCACATATGATTTTTATTCACTTGACAATAAAGCCTTTCACATTAGACCCACCCAGAATGTGACACAAATATATACACTAGGTATGCATGCAAAGATACAAATGTGTGAATTTTCTTTCTGAGAAGAGCTCCTTCTTTTCTTTGTGCTAATTAATTAGGGCTGATGCTTCTTCATCTGTCTCTAGTAAAAGCACAAACAAATGTGTTCGGCCCTGTTGTCTTTTAATCGTATGTTCACCATATAACTAAATGATAATAAGATAACAGCAGAACCTTTAAAAACCTTAACTTTCCATTTGATAATCGGACTTGTAGGCAGGGTTTCCAAGAGCCAATACCCAGAAGCAAACATTTTATTAGGAACCAAATGTCAGTACTGCACAGTTTGCCATGAAATAGTTTTCTATTGCGTGTGTGTGTATTTAGATTTCTAGATGTAAGGCAGGATGTAGCTCAGAGGTCAGAGTTGAGGACAGGGAAGTTGCTGTTTTGAATCCCTGTAATGACTGGGAACTGTTAGAAGCTCTAAAGGCCCTGCACAGCCATACAGTTTTATTCTGGTTGATTAGGCCAAGTTAGGATAAGTTTGACAGTGTGCTGTGGTGAATCTCTGTGTACACCAAAGTATCAGGTGCAAGTTTTCCTGCGATAACAAGTGCAACAAAACTCAGTCAAGTCTGTTCTGCACGTATCCACAAAGTCCAAAGAGTAGGTCAGACTGCATAAGAGAAAGCACGTATCGTGGATGTGTAGGGACTGTAGACTTTGAGAGTGTTTCTGTAAATTAAAGTGCTGACCAATGCTAAATGCAACACCCTCACTACCTCACCGGAAACCTGATGGTGGACTGTATTGAAATTTATTGAGCCTTAGGAAAGGGTTGTGATCTAAGACAGCCAGAGTCAGACCCAAATGCAAACAGTCAAATGTAGTTAACAGACACTTGTTTAGCAAGCAAAGCTCAGTATAATCTGTAGGTAAACAGTGAATCAGCGACTGTTAGGCAAAAGAACAAACAGACTGACAACTGGCTAAAAGGCATCTGTCTATCCTTTTTGAGAAGGTGCTGCCTATACAGTATATATGGGCTGCTTAATGTGTTAACAAGAAGCTGTTGTGCAGGAGGCTAGCAGGTCACTGTCAGCTGATAGGAACCAGGTGTTCAAGAGCAGAAAACATGCTGAGGGTAGACTAGTAAGTAAAATAAATACACATATGCCTTATATTATATGTCAACACATGATATACACAGACAGGATATTGCCTCTCCCTGATTCTGTCCAAAACTGCTCCAAAACTACAGGCCTCTTGAAATCTGGCCCGCAGCACCTTAGGCGTAACTGGACAATAACAAAAACATATTTTCTCAGGCTTCCTATATTTTATTAATACTTTTTGCTAAGATTTACATCCAAAAAACTGTGTCCAGCTTTGTTTTGACACCGTGTAGACCACAAATGTATTCAGTAATGCCTCAGTACCTTCATGGACAAGAAAACAAACAAATCTATGAAACATGTAAAAATGTTTGATGTAATGCTTGTTAATGGAATTAAACAAAAAAACTTGCCCATCCATCCATCAAAGCACATTTTGCCTCAAGTGCAGTCTTTGATTTAAAGGTAGCTGTGTGCACATCCACACAAACCTTAGTGGGCCGGGAGCTGGATACCAAACATCAGAGCAAGTGCAGAGGTAGCCACACATTTCTCATGACATTATGACATCGACCGGTCTTCTTTAGGCAAAAACACACATAAAGGAAGAGAAACGGAGCATCTTTGTCTGAAGTTTTTAGGTATTTTACTGCAGAAAACCAGTTGTGGTTTGTTTGGCCAGCAGGGTTAAGGGTGACTGTTGAGACGCAAAAGGTTTATAGAAAATTGTTTCTCCTAATACTATTCTGTGAAATCTTCTTATTAAAATCCCAATTATAAGAATTTAAAGAGCATGAAGATAGATAAAAACAGAGAGCTGTTACTTAAATATGGCGTCACAACCTTTTATGTATGCTTATTAAGAATCTATAAAAGCATTTGAAAATGAGTAATTAATGACTAATGAGTTTGTTTGTGACACCATTTATAAAACTGTCCTACTGTAAAGTGGTGCTGTCTTTTTTCCCTCCCCTCAGCGGCTCCTGAGTGCAGTACAGAAGAACGCCACTAGAGGAGACCCTCGCAGCGTGGTCAAAGCCATCGATCAGTTCTGCAGAAACAAAGAGTGGGCCATGAACGTGGGGGATGAGAAAGGTCCAGATTTCTCATTAAACATCTATGTGCTTTCATGTGTAAAATCATTTCCTTACTTGACCCAATTGTATGCTTCTTTTTATCTTTCATTTATTCTTATTATTTTTTGCCACAGGGTGCATTCTTGACTCAGTGGTGTCTGAAGTAAACCCAGCCACTGTGTTGGAGCTGGGAACCTACTGTGGCTACTCCACAGTGCGGATCGCCAGCCTGCTTCCCCCCCACGCCAAGCTCATCACTCTTGAATTTAACCCAGACTTTGCTGCAATTGCTCGTCAAGTCATTGCTTGGGCAGGACTAGAGGAAAAGGTAAAACCGAATGTCCCCACACAAACTGCAATACAATGATGTACATACTGTAGTGTGTACAGGTCAAAAGACGGCATGTTTCTTCTTTCTAGGTGCAGTTAGTTGAAGGAGCATCTGGTGACTGGATCCCCAAAATGAAGGAGCAGTTTGGGGTGAAAACATTGGATTTGGTTTTCCTGGATCACTGGAAGGATCGATACCTTCCTGACACAAAACTGATGGAGGCACGTCTGTTATGCTCCTTTTATCTACTGATCAAATTCTTTATTTTTCTGCTATGACACTCTCTTTGCTTTTTATTCAGGAGTGCGGCCTCCTCCGGAAAGGCAGCGTCCTGCTGGCAGACAACGTCATCTGCCCCGGAACTCCAGACTACCTGGAATATGTCCGCAGCAGCCCACGATATGAAAGCCAGTACTTCAAATCTCACCTGGAGTACACCAAAGTGGAGGATGGCTTGGAGAAGTCTGTCTTTTTAGGGTAGTTTCTAAGAAAAGTGTCATGTTTTACACAGGTACTAGTAAACCAGACCTCTGTCTCACTGAGCAGACTCAAAATCATTTAAATCTGTTTTTCTAATAATACACCATAGAGTGCGTTAACTTGAAATTAAAAGAGATTTGTGATTAAAGAAAAAGAAATAATTTGTGTTGTGTGCTTTATTTTTTCAACACCACATGATGAAGTCTTGATGCACTCTTTATCTATACTGGTACAGTAGGCGGCGGTAGTGATACTATGTTCAACCATCTAATTGACAGATGAAGAACTGCAAACTGATCCGGGGGCTGCTTTTCCCATGAGCATCAACTCAAATCAATAATAAATCTAATCCAGCTGCATTCTGTGGTGCAGAAACCTATTTCATGCTCTGATATTCTCCACCATTGTGCCATTGTTGACAGGTGTGCGAAGAGAGTCAGTGTGTGTGTGCCATGTTAGTGTGTGTGTGAGAGAGTATGAATCAAATCGCTGCTCATCTAATCTCTCAAAGTGACAGAGTTCCATCATACTGGAGGGGGGGAGGGAGGCTTCTGCATTTGGTCCAGCTGTATGAAAAAAAAAAAGAAAAAAAGAAATGTGCTACTCCACCTAGTGCTTTCTTCACAGACGCCTGCATTATAATCCCAATCTGTGGCCATTAGTGCACTGAAAGAACGAGCAAGGAGAGGGTTCAACAGAGAGAGAGAGTGGGGAGGGGGGAGTGCCTGGACAGAGATGCACGCAGAGGAAAAAGAACGAGAGAGAGAGAGAGCTTTTAAGGGATTTGGCAGTGATTTGTAGAATCTCACTGCTGTAATGTTGCGCTTTTCCTCTACTTTTCTGCCATGATACTTTACCCTGAATCCTCAAAAGTCAGTGTTTTCATTTTGTCTTTCTAAATCACAACTACTTCTTTTTTAGACCATTGTTTTCAGTGTGTTGTGATTATTTTTGAGAGTGCACAGCGGCTGTCTGAGATGATAGAGGATTTACTTTTAGTGAGGAGAGGAGAGCCTCTAGGTATATAATCACATTTCGGACCGTGGATGGAGGCCTGTTTGGAAGAGCGCATGTGATGGATAAAATCAAGATTGGTCAATGAAGAATGGGCAGGTAAGTAGAGCCTTAGCATGAAGACATTTATCTTCTATTTCATTTCTTTTTAAGAGGGAAAATTGTCTGCAACAGTTGTGTTTTTCTGCGGATTCACGTTTTGCTTTTACTGATTTTGAGAATCTTTTCAACTAGTTTCCAAAAAACATCCAAAGATTTAGCATCATAAACATGGATTTAAGTATGAATTTAAGTATGTATTGCAATTTGAAAGCAAGTAAATTTGTAAGCATGCAAACTATTATTATTAAGGTTTAATACATATTAGACAATTGAATATAATGTAAGATTTTAACAAAATTAACCCAATAATAAATATTTTCTGTTGTCTGAATTCTGCCTGGAAACATTTAATATATTTATACTCTTAATAATTTATTTTTTACAGACTGTTTGTAGTTTGTTTACTGCAGATTTTATCAATAATCATGAAGCAGATCAAATTCACCTGCTCTAACTTTTGGAGCATGAAATGCTGTGAAGCTTCAGTTGATGTTTTCTGTTTTGCAAAATTCATAGTGTTTTCCATCATCTGCTTTCAGCTCTCTGTGATAAAAGCTTCCAATATTCACTCAGCGTCATCCTGCATGCTGACTATTTCCAGCTACAGCCTCCTTCAGGAGTACACAGTATCTTATAGTGTGTCTTTTGTTATATTTACTCAGTTTGCAGCAGAACAGAAGTAAAAAATGTCAGATATCTTCTGGTGAGCTCTCCGGTGTGTACATTTTGTCACCTGATAGGGGTATCATTTTAGCATTTTCCTCTTCAACAGCACATATCTGTTACCAGGTTTACGGTTACAAGGTCGTGTTGTGCATACATGCAATGTTCAAAAAAACCCAAATAACTGAAAGACTACAAACACTCCCAAGTCTCCAAGGATATCAAACCTGCAAAACGTGGAATAAAACTGTCAAAAACACATCAACAATTTTTCATTTTATGTTCTAACTATTTGATATTGCATGTTGTATTTAATATAAGACATAGCTTCACTGCAACAAACCAAACAAAAACAAATTATAAAGTGATGTGGTTAAACATTGTGGAAAAAATAACTAATTCATCCAGCTTTACTGAGGGGTAGACTTATTAAATTAGACATAAGTAGTAAAGTAGGTAAACATACTGTCACTGTAATGAGATGTTGATCAGACCTTAAAGCACCCCTCTGACTGCCCTCAGGTGTCACAGGTAGAGGGAGTGGCCTGGTGCTGTCAGTACCTCTGCTGGTCATCATCATGACAACAGAGTCCCGCTCATCCCATCAGTGCTGCTGGCTCGGTTCACCTTCTAGATACCAAACATGGCTTCAGCTGGTCTGGGTGCTGCTGGTGGGTATGAGCCCGGGCTCATGGGCCCAGCAGGGCACCCAGCCCCAGTCCATCAAAATTGAGGGCGACATCACCTTAGGTGGGCTGTTCCCTGTGCACTCTCGGGGCCCTGCTGGGGTGCCGTGCGGGGAGGTCAAGAGAGAAAAGGGGATCCATCGATTGGAGGCCATGCTGTACGCCTTGGACCAGATCAACAGCGACCCTGACCTGCTGCCTAACATCACTCTGGGGGCCAGGATCCTGGACACCTGCTCCAGAGACACCTACGCCCTTGAGCAGTCGCTCACCTTTGTCCAGGCCCTCATCCAGAAGGACAACTCAGATGTGCGATGCTCAAACGGAGAGCCTCCCATCATCCCCAAACCAGAGAGGGTGGTCGGGGTCATCGGGGCATCTGGCAGCTCTGTATCCATTATGGTGGCCAATGTGCTCAGACTGTTTTCGGTGAGTTTTCTTTCACTTCCTGTCTTCATTAAGAGCTAAAAGGGCGAAAACATTTGAGGCAGTTCCTCTTTTCAGTAAGCTGATGAGGTGAATCCAGGTGAAAGCCATTATCCCTTTGCGGATTTCTTTCTCTGAGGGGTGCCAAGATGATTAATGGGACAGGACACATTTAAAAAGTTGCACACGATTATGCTTTTCTCTATATTTGGTTTTTGTTAGAATTACTGGATACTTGGGGCATCCTGGTGGTTGTGGTTAAGATGTGTTCCACATAACAGCAACAGTTTGATTACAGCCAGGAACCAGGAATGTCATCACCTCCTCTCTCTCCCACTGTTTCTTGACTCTCTATTCTGTCATACTATGAAAATCGAGAGGCAGAAGTTTCATAAATCTTAAAATACACACACACACACATATTCTGGATACTGTCATTTTAAGGAATCACAAGCCCAAACAGAGTTAGTCAGTGACTTTCAAAGTAAGACTGAGCTGAGACTGTGCCAAAAAGTGTGCAACTGTCACAAATATGTCACTAAAACTTCATATTTTTGGTTTTGAACCGCTTTAATGTGACACACACATACACAGGTAATGTTAGGGCTCGAACCACAGTAGCTGAACTTTTACTTTATGTTTCACTGAACATACTTGTTCATGTTTGTAATATTAAATTAGCTCGCTAGTTAAGATGTACTGGGGCACACGGTCCACTCTTAGATGGTGAATCATTAAATTTTCATGGTTATTATTGTCGTCATTCTGCAGCATGAACATGGTTACATTTAGTTGCAGTTCAATTATAGATTTTACAAACCAGATTTAGAGTACTCCTGACATTTAATAACATCATCTCATGGGATGCTTAGATTGATAATATTGCAGGTATTACCTTATTGCTGCCGTACAGACATATTCAGCCCACATTTAACTTGATCTGATTGTGAAACGAGTCAGTTAAAATGATGAATTATTTGAATGAGTTTCTGTATTGATGGCACACTTCAAAGGATTTTGAATCCATTGTCATGGGTGGCCTCCGCAGGCTAATCCGTGTTATGTGTTCAGTGGACAGGTTTATTTATTTATTTTACAGACAATTGACCTTTGATAATTGATTACACTGCTTATAGCGATGATGGGACACTGAGTCTGTGTAAATCCTACATTATGCCATGTTCTCACCAACTTACTGACAGTCTGCCAGAAATCTAGAAATGTCTAAAAATAAACACTAGCCCGGGTTAAATTGGCCAAATTAGTTTGACATAAAAAAGAAGATTCTACTCGCCTGGATGCTTCTCGGTGAAGCATTCTTTATAGTGAGGATGCTGAGTTGAGAACCAAGGAGGGGTAGCTTGCATACAGGGCAGATGTTAACTACAGAATTATAGATCCCAACCTCCACTAAGCCCCTCTCAGCAGCTCAGGACCCTGGGCTGAAAATAGAGCATCAGGGCAGCGGGATGACATTGGTCATAGGATAACAGCGACTTGTAGTCGTGGCGGTGTGGAGTAGATTTAGCTAAATGGTGTGTTTCCACCTACTATCCATATGGGCTGCTCTCCGGACCTCGGGTGCTTCTAGACTGATGTTCACTATGCACAGAACATCTGCTCCCAGCCGGAGCAGGAGATGTTTCAGCGTCTACCATACATACTGTTATCATATTGGCTATTTGTTGCAAAAAGTGAAAACTTAAGGTCATTTTATATAATCAGTAGCCTATAATCTGCAATTCAGAAAGTGTGTATCATATCAGTTTGTATTTTAACTGTTCAGCTTGTTAAATAACAGTAGATCCAACAGTAGAGTCACCCAAACCTTTAAGAAATGACCATTTATAGTTGAAATGTTCAGTTTCAGATTAATAAATGAGTAGATCAACAGATTATTAACTGATTATTATTCAAGCTTTTTAAATTTGCAGCTTTTTTATCACTGTAAATGGAATATCTTTGGGTTTTTAACCATTGATCATTGATCTGAAAACATTACTTTAGTAACTACAATGGATTTTTCACTACTGTTGAATTTTACAGAACAACTAAAAGCTAAATAATTAATCAGTCCCTACAGGAAGTTACAATGTTACGATCACACCAGTCAACCAATCCCAGTGAATTCTGTGTGATCTTTACAAAAATTTGACCAGTAATAGAAGTTTCCTGCACAAAACGTTGAGCCATATGCCAAACTCAACTTCTAGTTGTGATGACGCAGACGTCTCACATTTACCCTGTACAGTATAATTATAAAATAATAATAATTGCAACTATTTTTTTTGTAATTTTCACTTTCTCACGCATTTAAAAACATTGCAACATGTAATGATGCGGTGAAACCAGACATTTTAGGCCGCAACAATATCCCCCAAAAAAGCCAACAAAATTCTGGAGGGACTAATTAGTCAAAAAATAATGTACACATTAACATGACAAAATAATTATTAGTTGTGGGCCTATTTATAATAATACGATTTGTTTAGTATCGTCCAATATTTCAATGCAGAATGTCCAAACTATTAACCAAAGCAACCGCAGACTGCAGTGAGCCTCAAGTCTGTTGCAAAGTGATCTAACTGAAATAAGTACAAAGAAAAACATTAAACATGTCCATTAAGTTTCAATTTTAGGTCACATTTTACACTTTGAATAAACATTTGCTCATTCCCCAATACACCATTCTTGATGATCATGACAATAAATGCATCACATAAATACATGCTCCTTATAACATCTGTAAGTGTACCTGCACACACTTCTGTCAGTCAGACCATTAAGTCAGGACTAAACCACAATCATTATTCTTTGGCTCGGATCCTGAAATATCCTGGACGGTTTCAATCATTACGATAGCGACGAGATTTCAGCAGTGATGGACTGTAAGTGGATCCTCATGTTAACTGATATGGTTCATTGATTTTAGTAAAAGTCACTAAGTGAATTGGTGCAGATGCTTCTGTGGGATTCATTTGGAGAGGATTACATGTTTTCTTGTTCATTACAAATTTGTATGCAAACAGTTGAATCACCTTGCTGACACCGACTTCTCTGGACACTGATGTCATCTGTCACTCAATGGCCGTGTCAAACATGATCATAAAAGCACTTTTTGTTATTTAAAGAAAGTTCACCCCTGGTTGAAGATGTGGTCTGTTACATGGAGACTGACCAGTAAATTTGATCTTGACGGGGTTCACACAGAGCAGCAAATTGAAGCTGCATGTGGCCATCAGAATTAAATATATTGTATGGCTTACAGCTGAGAAATGTTAGCCTTTTTCTAGTCTCTTGATCTCTGTCTCTCCCTCTGTGCTTAACGTAATTTGACTAAAACCCCTATAATCCACCCAGATAATCTGTGAAATGGTTCTCTCGGTCCTCTCTCCTTCTCCCTTCACTACCCCTTGTGTCTACCTTTCCCTCCTCGTCCCCTCCAGAGGGCCCAACGCTAAGCCACGCTGGGGGACTAGCATTAGCAGGGTCAGGGTTGAGACTGTCGACATAAACTGTGTCATTAAAGAAGTAGCACACCAGTAAATTAATCTTCTCATCTATTTTTCCCCAAACAAATGCTTTTACAGCTGTGGGTCCTACCATCTGTATTTCACTGTGACGTTATGTATCCTCAGCCCAGACCAGCTCTGGGCAGATCGCACTGTGAAGTTGTTTCAATTCTGAGAATTACTGAGAACACAGGCTGTTCAAGAGATGATAGTCCAATTTGGGGATTTTAATGGACTACAACTTGTCATTATTAATGTGGAAGGCCTCCATTTAGACTATGTTAAGGTTTTGTCTGTGAGTAAGTGGTGCATCATCCTCTGACACGGTTCACTGTCTCTTCCAGTCATTCTTTTTACCTTTGCTATCACATATTGGCCTAATAATCAGCGCTGCTCGTGTTTTCCACTTGACCCAACCTTTTCGTAACCACTGACCCATTCTTGTGTCTCAGATCCCACAGATCAGCTATGCCTCCACTGCCCCAGAGCTGAGCGACAACAGCCGCTATGAGTTCTTCTCCCGTGTGGTGCCTCCAGACTCCTACCAGGCTCAGGCCATGGTGGACATCGTCAAAGCCATGGGCTGGAACTACGTCTCCACGCTGGCCTCTGAGGGCAACTATGGAGAAAGCGGCGTCGATGCCTTCCTCCAGATATCCAGAGAAGCAGGTTGTGTGTCTGGCTGTATGAATGTGCATTCACGGCTGTGACAAAAAGGGATTAATCATCAAGCTGTGTTGTTAGCTTAACATAACTGTTCTCACTCATTAAAAGACTAAAGTAGGGAAAAAATCCTTTAATACACAAGAACTAAAAGGGCAAACAGAAGTCACCGTCTCATATGGGTTTAAAAGCTCTAATGATGTTACTAGAGTTCAGATTTCAAATTCAAAATCATACGCATACATAAATAATTGCCATTGCTGGACAGTGTACTGCTATACTAGCATACTAGTGACACAGTTGGTCCACCACTTTGGTCCAGACTTAAATATCTCAACAACTACTGGATTAATTGCCCTGAAATTTCGTAAATACATTCATGGTCCCCAGAGGATGTACAGTATGGTAATGACTTTTCCTCTAGTGCCACCATTGATGTGTGGTTTTGAGTTAAATACCCTGATAACTATTAGATGAATGGCCATGTAATTTGGTACAGACATGCATGTTTCCATTTATTTATTTAACTTCAGTTAACAATTGACTTTTCAGCTAGAGCCATCATCAGGTTATAATTTCATTTTGTCCAAAATTTTGGTTTATGACCAAATTCCTACCGTCACTCCCATCTGCTCAAGTTGTAGGCTACTTTAAGCCTTTAAGTTTATGCTGATAAGCACTAAATGTTAGCATGCTAACATGCTAAAAGATAGATAAGTTGGTCAACTTTCAACATTTAGTTATTTGGAAATGTTTCCTAGTTTCAATACTGACTTACATCTAATACTCTCACTAACAGGCTAACATGCTCACAATGACAATGCCGATACAGCATTACTGTACCATGCTGGTACATTGGTAATTTGTTTTTAAAGTATTTAGTCATCAACCATAGTATTAAAAAAAATGCAATTTTGACCTCATGGTGATGCTAGATTAAAATTAAGGATCACCATTTATCCTGAAGGGGAACATCCTTTTTGTAATCTGTAATTTACTTTTTGAGGTTTCAGAAGTATTATATACATAATTATTTCACTGTGCAATGAGGGGAGAAAACAGGGATGTACAGCAAAGCCAACATGTTTCCAATGTCTCTGATACAGGGGGGCTGTGTATCGCACAGTCCATAAAGATTCCCAGAGAGCCCAAACCAGGGGAATTTGAGAAGATCATCAAAAGACTGATGGAGACCTCTAATGCTCGCGGGGTCATTATCTTTGCCAACGAGGACGACATCAAGTGAGTCGAGCTCGGCTGCACGTTAGAGAAAGGGAATCAGCCTGATGATACAATGAGCACAGAAATACTGTTTCATATTTAACTGTCAAGTCTCCTGTATGATAATCACACAGAAGAGTAAAGTAGGAAGTGTGTGATGAAGTATCATTTGTCCTCTTTCAGACGGGTGTTGCAGACTGCCAAAAAGGCCAACCTGACAGGCCACTTCCTGTTTGTTGGCTCCGACAGTTGGGGGGCCAAAAACTCCCCCATTCAGGACTTGGAGGATGTGGCTGAGGGCGCTGTCACCATCTTACCAAAAAGAGCCTCTATTGATGGTGGGGCACATTTATTAAATCTCGAACCAACTGGATGCAATAGGCTATCTACAATAGCCTGCAACATGTGACGTTGATAGATGAGTCTAATACCAATGCAACAAATAAAGGAAATGAATGATGTTTGATAAGTCTGCTGGCAATATTACCGCCCTGTCACTGTCACTAAGATTGAGTCCTAGCTATATTATATTGTGCAGAAATTGGATTTTCTTTGCTGATTTTAGCACAGTATGATTTTTGATATGCTGATATCAATTTGAGCACTGTGGTTTCAAAGCATGCATGACAATTTCATAATCTGGTTTTTGAAACGTTTCAGGGTTCGATCAGTACTTCACTTCAAGATCTCTGGAAAACAACCGAAGAAACATCTGGTTTGCAGAATTCTGGGAGGACGACTTCAAGTGCAAACTAACCCGGCCTGGCATAAAGTATGAACTTGGTAGAAGAAAATGTACAGGTAAGCAGGCTACATATTTTTATTTATCACAGTTCTGTGTTTGTAAGCAGTTTTGTCTCTTCATCATTACCGCTTTTGATACTTCTGTCGTCTGTCAGGTGAGGAAAGAATCAGTCAAAACTCTCAGTACGAACAGGAGGGCAAGGTGCAGTTTGTAATCGATGCTGTGTACGCCATGGCCCACGCCTTACACAGCATGCACATAGACCTGTGTCCTGGCTACATGGGTGTCTGCGAGAAGATGGACCCTGTGGAAGGACGGATGCTCCTCCAATACATTCGCTCTGTCAACTTCAATGGTGAGCTTTTGACTTTCTATCTGTGTGTGTTTCTCATGCAATATTTAATTCTTTAGACTAGAGACTTAAAATTTTCATTTCTTTGATCAAACTAGACGTGAATCCATAAGTGATCCTTGCAAATCCGTCGCTCTCCATCACTGCAGAAGGTTTGAAAAGCAAAGCAAATTTAAAAAAAAGTAGAAGGGAGGTCAGCTTGAAGTCGTAAGCCTTGAGATGTTCTGCTAATGTACCTAGCTACAGAACACAGCACATTTCTTCAAAGCACGTCCCCTCCCTAGGGCTACCTCCTCGCTCTTCCCTATACACAACGCTCCCGCTTTTCATCCTCCCTTTCATAAAAAAACAGTTTGGAAAAAGGAAAAAAAAATAAAAAGTGTTCTATGAAAGCATCCTATTTACTGCTCTCCTCCTGGATGACCTTGGCTTGTATGGAAGATTTTCTGATTGAGCGCCTGCAGGGACCTGAGAGGAACATTCAATCACGTTAGGGCAACAGAGCAGAGTGCACTGAAAGACTGTACGCGTGGAGGAGAGCCTTCACTAAAGAGCATCCCGCACTCAGCTTTCACATGATTGCACAAGTCCGAAGAAAGCAAACACAAGCTGTATTCAACAGTGTGTGGGAGTTTTCTCCGCCACAAGAGATGTGGGTTCATGTCTTCAGCTTAGAGAGCTTGAATTCTTCATCCCATGTGACTCGCTTCTTTGCTTTTTTGATAGTGTACAGGTCATTAAAACCCTGTTCCCATCAACAGGCAGCGCAGGAACTGGAGTGATGTTCAATGAGAACGGAGATGCTCCTGGACGTTATGACATCTTCCAGTATCAACTGTCTAATGTCAGCAACCCTGGCTACAGGCTTATCGGCCAGTGGACAAACCACCTCCGACTCAATGTAAATATTCTTTTTTTTGGTCCATTTAAAGCACAACTTGAACTTCTTCTACTTCTAGCTTGACATTCTGAAAATACTGATACCACTTTCATCAGCAGCCAGTTAACTTAGCTTAGCATAAAGACTAGAAAGTGGGGAAAACGGCTAGCCTGGTGTTCCCAGAGGTAACAAAATCTGCTTACTAGCACCTCTACAGTTCAGTTCTTTTATGTTTAATCCGTAGGAAAAAAATCATGTAAAAATTTATTTTATGGGGTGTTTTGTGCCGGACTATTCCCTGGCCAGGTGCAGTACCTTCCTGGAAATAGCAAGAGCCAGGCTAGTGGATTCCTTGTTTCCTTGCCGTTATGCTGAGCTAACCAAACCAGCTCCTGGCTCTACCTACATAGTTAGTATACAGACATAACAGTAATATTCTCAGCTGACGTGCTGCAAGAAAACAAGTAAACACATTTTCCCCAAAAAACCCTAACCCTAACTATTGCCAATAAATTTATTTAATAATAAAGGTTCCTTATTCTCTTAGATTGTGGTTCCACTACAGCTGTGCAGACACTTTAATTAATCTTTTACATTGTGTTAACTCACACTACACATTTTAAAGGCCTTTTTGCACAGCTAGAACTGATTTTTATGTTCACACTGTATGGGTCAGTTGACCAGATGTTGGTTTTATCCATCGACAGTTCCAATAAAGTTGACTCAAACAAGACACTTACTTTACAATGTTCCTCAACACAAAGAGAGAAAGGCCGCATGATTCTACTATGAATGGAAAGTAAGAAGCATAAAAGAAATGTAAGGAGATGGCTGAGATAAGGACACAGGATATCTGACCATGGAACTGCTCAAACTGCAAGACAGCCAACCAACATTTCTGACCTGCCAGAAATCTAACTTAATTGTGCCAGAATTTAAAATCCAGCTTAATCTGAACAGTATCTGCACAGCTTAATGGCAGCAGTTTTTAGCCTTTTACAAAGACTGAGCCGGTATATTAAGTATAGTAAGACAATGTTTGTGTGTTTCTGCCCTAGTCGGAGGAGATGCAGTGGTCAGGTGGTGACCGTAAGATCCCTGAGTCAGTGTGCAGTTTCCCCTGCGAGTCCGGAGAGAGGAAAAAGATGGTGAAGGGCGTTCCCTGCTGCTGGCACTGCGAACTCTGCGATGGCTACCAGTACCTGCTGGATGAGTTCTCCTGCGACATGTGCCCCTTTGACATGAGGCCCTTAGAGAACCGCACAGGCTGCCGGCCCACGCCCATCATCAAGCTGGAGTGGAGCTCTCCCTGGGCCATCATCCCTGTCTTCCTGGCCATCCTGGGCATCCTGGCCACCTCCGGAGTTATTATCACCTTCATCCGCTTCAATGACACACCCATCGTTAGGGCCTCCGGCAGAGAGCTCAGCTATGTTTTACTGACGGGCATCTTCCTCATCTACCTCATCACCTTCCTCATGATAGCTGAGCCAAGCATCGCCGTGTGCGCCTTCCGCAGGCTGCTGCTGGGGCTCGGCATGTGCATCAGCTACTCCGCCATGCTCACCAAGACCAACCGGATCTACCGCATATTCGAACAGGGCAAGAAGTCGGTCACACCACCGAAATTCATCAGTCCCACCTCTCAGCTGATTATCACCTTTATACTTATCTCAGTGCAGGTATTAATGTAGATGCTTCCTTCACACAAATCACCATGACCCTCTGTAGCACTCTAACTAATGCTCCTTTCTCTGCAGGTACTTGCAGTGTTCATCTGGTTTGGCGTGATGCCCCCCCACACCATCATCGACTACGAGGAGCAGAAGCCCCCAAACCCAGAGTTCGCCCGCGGGGTCCTCAAGTGTGACATGTCCGACCTGTCCCTCATCTTGTGTCTGAGCTACAGTATCGTACTGATGATCACCTGCACTGTGTACGCCATCAAGAGCAGAGGAGTTCCTGAGACCTTCAACGAGGCCAAACCCATCGGCTTCACCATGTACACGACCTGCATCATCTGGCTGGCCTTTGTACCCATCTTCTTTGGCACAGCGCAGTCTACGGAGAAGGTTGGAACTTTTTCTTTTATATAATTGGCATTACTGGTTTCTTTTCCTGGGATTGGAGGTACTTGTACTTGAGTACTTTAATTTTATGTTGCTTTATTCTAATACTGCAGCAGATCATACAAAACATGACCTAATAAATACTTAAAGTATATTTTGTCTCTAACACATTTGTACACCTATACTTAAAAAACAAAACAAATGCAGGACCTTTTGTTGGATTTTTGGTGTGATATTGCTACTTTAATTTACAAATAGAATCAGTTAATTTTCATATTATTTTCCTAATATATCAACATATCAGAGATTGGTAAAAAAAAAAACCTGAGGTAATGTTTTGAAATTAATTGATTTATCCAACCAACAGTTCAAAATGCAAAGCCATCATATCATATAAGATAAAGAAGAGCAGTAAATACTCACATTTGAGAGGCTGGAAAGAGGTAATGTTTTTGCAGCATTATTTTTAAAAAGAAAATTAAAAGAGGGATTATTTTCTCTGTTTACATTTTTATTCACCAGTTGGTTCTTAATTTATTATATCTATATACTAATCTGTCAATTGATATCTTACTAAATTATTATAAAAAAATTATATAATATAATATAATATAATTATAAATTATAAAGTTACTCTATTAATTGAATATAACATTAATATCAGTATATTTATTTTGTTACAGTCCTTTGGGAGGCTCTTCACTGTAGGTACAATATATTAATGGAAGTTTTTAGTAACCTGGTGAATCAAAATTAATAAATGCAATACAGTTACAGTAACAGTAAATTAGTCCCTCAGATGTTCAAGTGTAATCTGAGTTTGTTGCCTGTCATCTCATATTTGCTTCCTGCTGTACTCACAGGACATCCTGCCTCCACTGTACTGAGAGTTTAATTTAGCTTGTGGGCTATTTCTGCCGTCACAAAGTACGAGACTGTTGGGGGAATATTTGAAAAACAGAGATACGCTTTGACTAATAGAGAACTGTATTATGAATCAGTCAGGCTGAAACAATTAAAGCCCGAGGTGCTTTCAAAGTCTTTTCACCTCCTCCGAATGGAAATGAAGTGAATTAAGAAAAGGGTGGGAGGGAGGGAAAGAAAGGAGGTCAGATGAGCTGAGGGACGGTGGGGACCCCTCGTCGACGAATTCAGCCATCCCATTCAATTAATCATCACTTGGAAAAATATCTAAATATAAACTTTAACTTTAGTCTGGCTCACTGAAATAGTGGCTGTTATCCTCCATCCATCATGTGTAAGAGCACGTGTAGGAGGAGGTGATTTACCTGCTTCATGTCTCTATTTACATATGGAAGAACCATGCACAGTTCCTGAGCCAGTCTCTGTGCTTGCCTCGGGCCAAGCACATGAATACAATCTACTTTGTGCTCATAAATCACCACAGCTTCTTTTAGAGATGGAGAGGTCACTGAGAGGAACCAATAAAAAGCATGATGGAGATGATAAAAGAAACTATACTGCATGGACATCACCCTGTGAGATACCAGGATGTGCTGCTGCTGAAGATAGTATACCATTTATTACTTATTTATGGCACAAATATATCTTATTTATGGCACATATGGCTTGATTTATTTATGACCTGTACAGTTTGCTTGAATAATGAGTTCATAATTTATCAGAGGCAGATCTCAGTGGAAGTCACTTCTCATTATTACTGTTGGATTCGCAATAAGAGGAAGAACAGTGAGGAGTAAACGTGGTCAAAGCCCATAAATAGAGCCTTCTTTCCTGACTACATATACCAGGTCATAAATCATTCATCAGAGGAAAAGAACTGCCTACTGTGCTTTGAGATGAAAATTTTAAAGACTGCATTGTGACAACCTATGAGATGACATATAGAGTATTTTCCTGAACATGTGCAAGCTGATATAATCCATTATTAACTGCACACTGATGGATACTCTAAGGATTCTGAGAAATGAGCAGAAATGAATCGATCATTTTCTCCATAACTGTGCGCGTATAGGGATCTTTCTGACCTGCCGTGTCTCTGTTGCAGATGTTCATTCAGACCACCACCCTGACAGTGTCCATGAGCCTGAGTGCAACCGTGTCCCTGGGCATGCTCTACATCCCCAAGGTCTACGTCATCATCTTCCACCCGGAGCAGAACGTCCAGAAGAGGAAGCGCAGCATCAAAGCCGTGGTGCAGGCAGTAACCACGCAACTGTCCCAGAAGTCCAACGACAAACAGAACGGAGAGTCCAAGATCGTGCCGGACAGATCACAGTAAAATAAATGAAACTGGGTCTATGTTTTCATCACTGTCACAAGCCCACACTGAGACAGCTGATAGAGAGTGAAAATCAGCATTTACTTTAGTTTTGTCTGGATTCTCTCCCCCCCTCCCCGGGCTGAAACGCCAGCAAAAACGTTCCTGGATGTTGTTTCTTCTCACACTTACTTAGATATCTCAGAGCTACTAAACCTGGAACGAAGCACAAAAAGGAACAGAAATGATCTTCCTTAAAATGGACAACAGAGAAGTGTACTGAATGAACTGCAACATTTAAGAGTATTCTTTTTGTAACAACATCCACATATACTTGAGAAGGAGGTGTCATTAGTTTTAACTTTCCCTGGGAAATGCTGTTTAGGAAAAAAAAAAGTTAAACTTAAATGGCGTCCTTTGTCCTACAGGAAAATGTCTATGTATGTGGAAATCCCATGAGGTCAATGAAGCGTTGTTTACTGGCTCCAAAAGCACTGCATGGATTGGATGTTTTGTGTGTCCATGAATGTTTTGAAACATTGTTTGTCTGGGGTGTTGTCACTTTTTCTTCTGATTGCACTGGAAGGAACTAACTTTTAAAATGCACCGCCATGTCCTGTTACTATTTCTAATACAATCCCCTGGGAAGGTATAATCAATCACATTACTATAACCACACACAGCAGAACCATTCAATGTCCAGTCACTAATGCAACAAAGCATTTTATTTAAATTAGTGTTATGTATGCAATTCTTACCATGGTACAAGGAGGTTTTCATTGTGGTAACTGTACATTTGTGAGTGCAAACAGGATACAAGGTGATTGTGAACCGGATATTTATGTTCAACCTGGTACTTTTACTCCAGAGTGGAAAACAATGTTTGGCATTTCCCCATATTGTTTGTCAAAATATCAAGTAATCTCGTCGAAGGCCAGCCTGTAAGGCAAAATGCCAGAATCATAGACAAGCTACTGTTACATTCATGCATGGGAACCTCATTAGAAAGCTTCACGTCATCAGTTGTATTTGATAGATTTTGTGCCATGATAAAGGTCCTCTATCACTACAAGTTCTCATTTCTGCAAACATTATTAGTCAATTAACACAAGTTAAGGGGAAAATTAACCACAGTCCCTTATTTGCGGTGTACTTTTTGTTGTTACTTGTTCACAACGTACAACTCAGGTTTTACGGATGGGCTTTTAAAATACTCTTTTTCTTCAGGATTTCCTTTTGTACAGCCTTTTCAATACAAATGAATTCAGCAGTCAGCACGTGCAGTGCATTTCACCTTACAGTTCAGGAGAGCTGCGAGATTCATGTCCTCATGTGAAAAAACGCTGGTTGTACTGCCCTCTGCAGGAGAGCGCACCTCAGTCAAATATTTGTGAATAAAAGTCACAGTCAAGAGGGAATTGTTTGTAGACCCCACACAAACCTTAATAAAAAAAAATATTGTTTATTATTTGAGTTGGTTTACATCTGACAGGACCATAAAACTAAAAATACCTACAGGATACCCACATGTAGGTGTTTAAGGAGACGGTTTTAAATTAAGTGTGAAAAATAACTGAGTATTTTTATGAACATAGAGAATAGTTGCAGCAGTGAATATCAGTGACATAATACAGAGCGCTAGATCCTCATATAAGTAAGTTTGTCTCACACTCACACTCACACACACAGATATAACAACAACAAGAGAAGGCTGATCTGTCCACAGACAATTTTGAGTCTTCACAAAAAAAAAAAAAAGTACAGCAGATTTGCTGAGCGTCATCGGGGAGGTTAGTTACTGCTTTTAAATTAAGTTCGTTCACAAAGTCCTGTTTGGTGCCGAGTGGCAGAACCGCTGCCAGGCTGGTTCTCTGTGCCAGACACAAACATGCTACTTCACACGCAGCATCCTGACCTTTGACCCCACATCTGGGGGAAGGAGAGGGCAGCATTTACTCGAGGAAGCTGTCCAGAGTCAGGCAAGTTGCAATCTTGGGTGGAGGCCTGGCTACCTTTTTCCTTTTGGCTTTCATCAGTGGGCGAATCTCTGATAAAGGAGACTGCAGTGGAGTACTTGGTTAAGGAATGATGCAGTTTACACATTGATGTTTATCTTCCATGATTATTCTCCAATACCTGAAAATATCCAAAACGAATATAAGTACGAACGAAGTACTTTTTATTATTATTATTATTATTATATAAAGCTGCATTCATTTTTGGCCAGTTGGGACAGTTTAAAACATAACATTAACATATTATCACTTTATAAAGTTGTAGGAAAATCAGATGTACAGGTCAAATATTTAAACTCTGTTTTATATATAACTGAAAATATCTGCCTTTTCATCTGTTTGTCTGCCATTTGGGTCTGGACAGGTCGCGTACAGTAGCTTTATCTGAGCTAATATAAAAAAATGTTTGTATAAAAAATATAAATGAGTGCAGCTTTACATCCTGTTAAATATCACACTGCCCCGTAAATAGGCTATATGGGCTAATAGTACTGATCCTATCTGAATGATCGATATTGGAGTGGATGAAGGCGTGTTTTAACTTTTGGGCTATACTGAGC